GTGCAGGGTCAGAATTAACATGCTGCCTATGGTGAGCGTTTACTTTACTTTGCTTGGCAGTGGAATCTGGCAGAATAGATTTAAATAGTTATTAATAAATAAATAATAAATTACTAATAAATGCGTATTTGATAAAATAAAATTACATGCTCTGAATTATTATTTTTTTGATTCAGTCAAAATGTACAAGCACAGAATTGGCCACCTAAACAAAACAAGCTAGCTTCCCACAAAAGGTCACTATGAAATGTATAATGAAAATAAATACTAGCAGAAATAACTTTTTGAGGTCATACCACATGATATCCAAATGTGGTAACTACAGACCAGCCGTTAAAAGGGTTATTTTTTTTCTTCCAAATTTGAAAGAGACTTATAAACCTGCTTGATGCTTCCATGGGTCCTTAGCAAATTGGTATATGATGCAAAGTCCTATCTTTGAATGGATTTCAACATAAAAGTCCCAAAATGGTAGTTTCTTGATGGTCGCACCACATGATATTTCATAAAATGGAAATCATCGGACAAAGTTTGTTTGTATATTATGATGGAAATATAAATACAAATGCTTTGCAATTTTACACAGGATTACAAAACACTTTGGAAATCATGCCAAATAGTGCATAAAATTAATTTGAATAAATTTAGGGTAATTTCAAAGATGCTTACAAAAAAAAGTTATGGCAGGACGATCGCACCACATGATATTTTGACACTTTGAATAACAGAAAAATTACAAATAACTAATTTTTTTTGAAAAGTTAAAGTAAGTTCATACATGAGAGAGGTCCTTCATATATATGGCATCTTTTTTTATGCATTTAAACCAATTTTTTACTGAAAAAAATGCAATCGGACAGAAAATGTAGGCGTCTCGTCATTGACCCATATATTTTTTTCCTATAATCATAGAAATTATTACTTTTATTTAGCAAGGATGCTTTAAATTGATCTTAAAACACAATTTCTAAAGTGCCTAAATGTCAAAATTAGTACAATATATTTGTTGAAAAAGTCTAATACACTATTGAATTATTAGGCTGAGCCTGTTACTCAGAATTGTTTTGTGTTGCTGTCTGCTCTAGCTCCCTCCCTTCCTGTACAATAAATCCATGTGAATATCTGTCTCTGCTACATTTTTCAATGTAACTTTACAATCGATATTGATGTCCTTTAGCACAGTATTCTGAATGATGATAATAATGGGGTGCTACTGATAGCCTAACAGATACTAGCAGTTTAATACTCAACTACGTTAATAAAGACAAAACTATCTAGCGTATTTACTACAGTCTATGGTATTTGCAGATGAAACTGACCTGCACTTGAAGCCCTGAACAGGTCAGTGATCTTGCTACATTTCACTGCTTCTTCTGTCCGCTTCCTCTCTTTCATCGAGTCCCGCGCATCGGTTCTGTTCGGAACTGTAGCTGATTCGCTGACAGTCAAGACTAACCGATTTATTATTTATTAGGCCAATCGATTTATTATCGAATGAAAAAATCGGACATGATCACTTTGGTACATTGAGAAGGGATAAATATAAAATATTATTAATAATAATAATAACAAAAAACAACAACAAAAAAACAGGGCAGCGGGCCAAATCAGACACCAGGCCACCGGGAAATCTCCCGGTGCTCCCGATGGCCAGTCCGGGCCTGCTGTTAGGAAACTAATTGTTTTCTCCACTAAGCAGTTTCTCCACTGCATGGATCCTCATGTGTATCTTCAGGTGACTTTAAAAGCAAAACTCTTCCCGCACTGATCTCATGTGTGCGATTCCTCTCCAGTGTGGATCTTCTCATGTCTTTTCAGAATTGCTGACCGTTTAAATCTCTCGTCACAGTGTGTACACTTGTAAGGTTTTTCTCCAGTGTGAATAATCTGGTGCCGTTTTAAATGGCTCGCTGAAATAAAAGTCTTGTCACACTCAAAGCACATGTACTCTCTCACACCGGTATGTATTTTCTGATGTCCTTTTAAACTTTGCAGCAGTGAAAAACTCTTTCCACATACAGAACATGAATGCGGCTTCTCCTTCGTATGAACTGTCAGGTGTGTCTTCAGAGCCGATGCCCGGTAAAATGTTTTTCCGCATTGATCACATGTGAACGGCTTCTCTCCAGTGTGGATCCTCATGTGAAGTTTAAGACTTTGTTTAATTGAGAATCTCTTTTGACACTGTTCACACATGAATGGCTTCTCTCCGGTGTGGATCCTCATGTGTGTTTTTAAGTGTACTGATTGTGTGAAACTCTTCCCACATTGATCACATGTGTAAGGCTTCTCTCCAGTGTGAATTCTCATGTGTTTTTTATGTTTTGAAGAGTCCATGAAACTCTTTCCACACTGATCACACATGAACGTCTCTTCTCCAGTGTGGATCCTCATGTGTAGTCTAAGATGTATTTTTTGTTTGAAACTCTTCCTGCACTTTTCGCAGTTGAATGGCTTCTCTCCAGTGTGGATTTGCATGTGTCTTTTATGGTTTGAAGAGTCCATGAAACTCTTTTCACACTGATCACACATGAATGGTTTCTCTCCAGTATGAACTCTCATGTGATGATCAAGACTTGGTTTGTATGTGAATCTCTTTTCACACTGATCACAAATGAATGGCTTCTCTCCAGTATGAACTCTCATGTGAAGCTCAAGACTTTGTTTGTATGTGAATCTCTTTTCACACTGATCACACATGAATGGCTTCTGTCCGGTGTGGATCCTCATGTGAAGCTCAAGACTTGATCTGTTTGTGAAGCTCTTCCCACACTGATCACATGCATATGGCTTCTCTCCAGTATGAACTCTCATGTGAAGTTGAAGTTTATTTTTAATTGAGAATCTCTTTCCACACTGCTCACACATTAACGGCTTCTCTCCGGTGTGGATCCTCATGTGTGTTTTAAAGTTTACTGATTGTGTAAAACTCTTCCCACATTGATCACATGTGTAAGGCTTCTCTCTAGTGTGGATCCTCATGTGAAGTTGAAGTTTATTTTTAATTGAGAATCTCTTTCCACACTGCTCACACATTAACGGCTTCTCTCCGGTGTGGATCCTCATGTGTGTTTTTAAGTGTACTGATTGTGTGAAACTCTTCCCACATTGATCACATGTGTAAGGCTTCTCTCCAGTGTGGATTCTCATGTGTATTTTATGTTTTGAAGAGTCCATGAAACTCTTTCCACACTGATCACACATGAACGGCTTTTCTCCAGTGTGGATCCTCATGTGTAGTCTAAGATGTATTTTTTGTGTGAAACTCTTCCTGCACTTTTCGCAGGTGAATGGCTTCTCTCCAGTGTGGATTCTCATGTGTCTTTTATGGTTTGAAGAGTACACGAAACTCTTTCCACACTGATCACACATGTATGGCATCTCTCCAGTATGAACTCCCATGTGATGATCAAGACTTTGTTTGTATGTGAATCTCTTTTCACACTGATCACACATGAATGGCATCTCTCCAGTATGAACTCTCATGTGATGATCAAGACTTTGTTTGTATGTGAATCTCTTTTCACACTGATCACACATGAATGGCATCTCTCCAGTATGAACTCTCATGTGATGATCAAGACTTTGTTTGTATGTGAATCTCTTTTCACACTGATCACACATGAATGGCATCTCTCCAGTATGAACTCTCATGTGATGATCAAGACTTTGTTTGTATGTGAATCTCTTTTCACACTGATCACACATGAATGGCATCTCTCCAGTATGAACTCTCATGTGATGTTCAAGACTTTGTTTGTATGTGAATCTCTTTTCACACTGATCACACATGAACGGCTTCTCTCCGGTGTGGATCCTCATGTGTCTCTTAAGCTGTGATGAATCCGTGAAACTCTTCCCACACTTTTTGCAGGTGAATGGCTTCTCTCCGGTGTGGATTTTCATGTGTTTTTTAAGGTTTCTTGACTGTGTGAAACTCTTTCCACACTGATCGCATGTGAACGGTTTCTCTCCACTATGAACTCTCATGTGAAGCTCAAGATTTGATTTGCTTGTGAAACTCTTTCCACACTGAGTGCAGGTGAAAGATTTCTTGGCTCTTCTTTTCTTTGAAAATGCATTGTCACTCTTCGAGTGACTCAAAGGTTTTTCTCCAGGTTTGTCATGATGTTTCTCCTTCACTCCACTCAGTTCTTCACTCTCCTCATTCTCTTCCATCAGCTCTGAAATGAAAGAAAAACAGTTTAATTTCATTTTCAGGACATTAAAATATAACCTGCACAACTGATCGCGAGACTGTGCGAGTATGAGCCAGTCGTCGAGATAGTTGAGAATGCGCACCCCCCGTTCTCTCAAAGGAACAAGGGCTGCCTCCATGACTTTGGTGAAGACGTGAGGCGACAGGGACATCCCGAAGGGCAGGACCTTGTACTGATATGCCTGACCCTTGAACGCAAACCGCAGGAATGGCCTGTGCCACAGGAGGATTGAGACATGAAAGTACACGTCCTTCAGGTCGATCACTGCAAACCAATCTTGGGGACGGATGCACCCGAAAATGCGTTTCTGTGTCAACATCTTCAATGACAGCTTGTGAAGCACACGGTTCAAAACTCACAAATCCAAGATCGGTCGTAACCCACCGCTTTTCTTGGGCACAATAAAGTAAGGGCTGTAAAACCCCAACGTCATATCGGCTGGAGGGACCGGCTCTATCGCGTCCTTCGCCAGCAGGACTGCGATCTCTGCACGCAAGACAGGGGCATCGGCAGCCTTGACTGAAGTGAACCGGATGCCTCTGAACTTGGGGGGACGCCGGGCGAACTAAATCACGTAGCCGAGTCTGATGGTCCGCAGGAGCCACCGAGATGGACTGGGGAGCGCTAACCAGGCTCCGAGAGACCGTGCTAGAGGAACCAACGGCGCCACCAACGTACCCACGGTGGGGCAGCGTGGTGGAACACAGGGACTCGACCCGAGGCCTGTGACGGCAGAGGGCGGAGTCTGGGTGTGAAGTGTAACACTCACCTGATTCCCCCGTGTGCGGGAGAAAACACGGTCCCGGCTTGAGGCTTGTGACAGCCCGGCGTGTGACGACATGAAGCGGGGACTTGAATTCTACAGCCCTTACCTGGTTCCACAAATGGGCAGGAGGGGTGCTCTTGGGCAACCCACTGCTGCCCACTGGTGAGAGAGGAAGAGGGAAGTGATCCTGTGATGCACAGTTCACAACTCTCCTCTCCTCTTGAGACCCAGAGACTGAGGAAACCGCTCTTTTATTGAAGTTTTGGGTATCGCTGGCTGCTGGGCCAGCGGCGGAACAAAAACAAAACGAAACAAAGGATCCTCTACCCGGACCTCCTCCGGGGGAGGGAATGTTGCGGTCACCATCTCCCGACGAGCAGTCTCCTCCATCTCCGGGTCGCCCGTCTCAGGGCCTCTTGCCACCTGGTTTGGCGGGGGCCTGGATGGGCTGGGTGTCCTGCCTGCGACCGGCTCCATGACGCTGCCTGGTGGAAGGCTGCTGCTGCTGCTGCGTGGGAGCGGGGGCAGCCACAGGGGGGCACCCACGGCGACGAGCAGGCTGAGGGGCTGCAGCCAGGACGGAAGCAGCAGGTTTCCTCCGGCGCAGGATGTGTTTAATCGCCTCCGTCTGCTTCTGTGCCGCTGAGAACTGCTGGGCGGAGCTCTCGACAGCGTCGCCGAAAAGGCCGGTCTGAGACACGGGAGCATTCAAGAACTGTACCTTATCATGCTCCTTCATGTCGGCCAGACACAGCCCGAGATGGCGCTCCTGGACCACTAACGTGGACATCGCACGACCCAGGGACTTGAAGCGCGAGGTCCGTCGCAGCATGCAGTTCATGTAGAATTGCCCGGTTGTGATCACCCTCGTGCAGGTCTTTCAGGGCTTTGGCCTGATGGACCTGCAGTAACGCCATGGCATGGAGGGCAGAAGCCGCCTCCCCACAAGCTCTGTAAGCACTGCCAGTTAAACCTGATGAATACTTACAGGCCCGTGAGGGGAGACACGGGTCACCCCGCAGAGTGGTAGCGGCCATCGGACACAGTTGCATGGCCACCGACCGCTCCACCGAGGGAATGCCCGTGTACCCCAAAGCAGCTCCACCATCGAGGGTGGTGAGAGCAGAGGAGGTACAAGATTTGTTTCGGGCAGTAAAAGGTGCCTTCCATGACCTTGTGAGCTCCTCATGCACCTCCGGGAAGAATGGCACCGGAGGGGGGCGCTGAGAACCAGCGCGACCTCCACCGAGAAACCACTCTTCCAGCCTCAAAGGATCGGGATGTGGTGGAGGATTCCACACGAGCCCGACATTCTCGGCGGCCCAGGAAAGCATAGCCTTCATCTCTGGGTCTGGCTCAGACAACGCTGTCACACCCGAAGGGGGCAATGCAGCCGGGTCGTCATCCCCGGAGAGAGAGAGCTCGCCCTCCGATGCAGCGAATGACATCTGGTCTCAAGGGGGCGAACCGAAGGAAATGGCCGGTTCCCTCCACAGTGTAGAGGGGCCAGCACGTCCCTCCGGCCGCTCCACAGGCTGCGGAGTGCTTGAGGGGTGACGAACTCCCTCTGGGGAAGCCGTCACCGTGATCCTCAAATCACCTCTGACTCCACCGGACGCAGTGTCGCCCCGATTGCAGAGACGAACACTGGATCGACGTAATAGTCTTTCATGCAACTCCAAGACGGTCATGTCCCCACAAATAGAACATGCACCATCCACGAACGCTTGCTCAGCGTGCTCAATGCCCAGACACGTGAGACAGCGATCGTGACCGTCCCGAGGCACCAGATAGCGACCGCACCCAGAAACGCACGGGTGTTTAAAAAGACGCGATCACCCGTGTTGCTCTTTTAGAGAAATTCTCTTGTGCTGAAGCACGCAGGGGAGCTGGCCACCGCACACTCCTGGTGTGGCTGTCTGCACGACGATGATCTCTGTTCCCGCTGTGCGACTGTGACCACCGCTGTTGTGCCGTAATGCCCGCACTCGCTGGCTCTCTGCTTGCAAAGTAGAGAGCAGTAGTGATGCACTACCGCTCGGCTCCAAAGTGCTGCCTCTTATACCCGCACTGCGTGGTGTGGCAGCCAGATTCGAATTCCGCATGTTAATGTCCATTGGCTCATTTAGTTACACTCGAAGTGGATTGGTCTCTCTGGCGAGATCCCAATTCGTCGGTCATCACCAACGTGACATAGAGAGTGACTGACTGAAAGGGAACAGACTTTCTTATCAGAGATAACGAGGCCATGAGACTCTCAGAGAATCTCTAGAGTCTGTGTCTGCTCACTCTTTATACAGGTTTCCATGAACAATACATATCATTCAGGCCATTATGGCTAGTCTATATCTTCTCATGACCGCATAATAGTAACACAAAGAGGTCTCAGTTCATCACATGTCAGCACAAGATCATCACATGTTTTTTCTTAATAGCAGCTCATCATATTTGAGCACACACAGTTAAATAAATGACTATAATAGTAGAATAACTCATATATGTATACAGTTATATTCACATTGATTATACTTGATTAATTCATATTTTGATTAATACAAATCTTCTACATTCTTCTCTACCCCAAAAAAAATATTTTGAAGAATGTTCGTAACCATAAAGTTTCTGGTCTCCATTGCTTCCCATAGTATCTTTTCTTTTTTTATAATATGGAAGTCAGTGGGGCCCAGCAACTGTTTGATTACCCAATATTCTTCAAAATATCTTATTTTGTGCTAAAAAATAAATAAAAAAATAAACCTGCACAGGTTTAGAACAACTTGAGGGTGAGTGAGCGATGACAGATTCTTCACTTTTGGGTGAACCATCCCTTTAAAGCAGCCTAAA